GGGCTCCGTGGCTTCTGGGACCATGTTATAGCACAGCCACCCTCATTGCATCAAGCAGACGTGCCAATTAGAGCACTTTCAGAAGCAACTCACAGCCTCCAGGGACTTGGAAGGGGTAATTATAACTCCAGCAGGGTAGTTTGCTGGGGAACTAATTAGATGTTTTTCTCAACAACAACTGATGAATAACTTTCTACAATTTTTTTCTACTTACAGATGTAATACATGTTCACTGAAAAAATAGAAAAAATATGTATGGGTGAGTTTGGAAAACAAAATAAATATCAGCCATATCTCACCATTAAAGATAACCACCAAAAAGCCAGGGTATATTTCAGGATAAGTGTGTAGCTGCTCCTCAGTACTTAGAACAGTGACTGGACAATGGCAATCACCCATTGTTGTAGGCTTAAAAAAGTCTTTCCCCAGACAAACATGGAACACTGTTCATCTAAATTTTCTTTTAACACTTTGTCTTTAGTCATTTAAAGTCATATAATATGGGGGCCAGCAGATGGTATAGCTGTTGCATCACTGGACTTCCACATGGCCAACCGCAGGTCAAGTCCCGGATCCAGTGGCTTCAAAACTCACACCTGGCGGGACAAGCAGGTGGCATAATGATTATGTTGCTGGACTCCCATGTAGTCAACTGCGGTTCAAGCCCCAGACCTGGTGGCTTCAAACTCACACCAGGTGTGTATGCAGGTGTACCTAAGATCCCAAGGAGAGGGGCCAGGCTGCAGCTGCTGGAAGGAAAGTGTCGACTCTCTTAGCCGGTTGAAGCCACCGAAGATTCTGATGTCACCATGGGCCGCCGCCCTGCCCAGTGTTATCGGTATTGTAAGAACAAGCTGTACCCAAAGTCACGCTTCTGCCGAGGTGTCCCAGATGCCAAGATCTGCATCTTTGACCTGGGGCGGAAGAAGGCAACAGTGGATGAATTCCCACTCTGTGGCCACATGGTGTCAGATGAGTATGAGCAGCTCTCGTTGGAGGCCCTGGAGGCTGCCCGTATTTGTGCAAACAAGTACATGGTGAAAAGTTGTGGCAAAGATGGCTTTCATATCCGAGTGCGGCTCCACCCTTTCCACGTCATCCGCATCAACAAGATGTTGTCCTGTGCTGGAGCTGACAGGCTCCAGACAATAGCCCGGGGCCTTTGGGAAGCCCAGTGTCACAGTAGCCAGGGTCCACATAGGCCAGGTTATTATGCCCATCCGTACTAAGCTGCAGAACAAGGAGCATATGATCGAGGCCCTACACAGGGCCAAGTTCAAGTTCCCTGGTCGACAGAAGATCCACATCTCTAAGAAGTGGGGCTTTACCAAGTTTAATGCTGATGAATTTGAAGATATGGTGGCTGAGAAGCGCCTCATCCCCGATGGCTGTGGTGTCAAATACATCCCCAATCATGGTCCCCTAGACAAGTGGAGAGCTTTGCACTCGTGAGGGCTCACGGTGTGCTGCCCCTTCCTTAATCACACTCATCAATAAACCTTACTTCTGTACAAAAATGCATCTCTTTCTATTTTAAGGTTTTTGCCATAGGGTATATTTGTTTGCTGGAGACAGGAAAAGTGAGAAATCACCCCTCAGGGGATGTTCACGCCACAGTTCCTTCTCCATTCTCTTGGGATTTGGGGCACACATGCATACATTCCTGGCATGATTTCCAAGCCACTGGGTCCAGGGCTTGAACTACAGTCTGCCAGGTAGCAGTCCAGTGCCTTCATCATATCACCTGCTGGGAAATGCACCTCTTAATGTTGCCTTATTAAAAGAACTTGCCAGACTATTCATTGGTACCTTTCTACCTCAGATGAAGTACATCATAGTAAGATTTTGAGTGGGCTGAGTGGAAGGAGCCATTGTGAAATACAAGGTGGGTTTGGACTCCACTTTGGAGTCTTAGGCACATGAACTTTAGAAAAGTTCAGCATCTGAAAATCAACCTCTTAAAACTGTTTATGACCACACCTTCCCATATTCTGAGGGATACCCATGCTCCAACTTGAAGACTGTTTTTGAATTGGGCCAAAAAAAGGAACAAGGATAATAAAGATCAAGTCAGGAAAGACTAGTGGAGTCTTGCAAGGCATGTGAAGGATTTTGAACTTTCTCCAAAAGGAACAGGAGCTCTACTGAGGGGTGTGTGTGTGTGTGTGTTAATAATTTTTTGTTATTTTTAAAATTTGCTATAGAGCACATGCACTCACCAAAGAGACAGGAAAAGTGAGAAAGCAAGCTGCCAGATCTAGAACTTGAACAGTGGTCAGCCATGTGAGAGTCAGTGCCTTACCCACCACACCACCTATCAGCTCTGCTACTAAGGGTTTCAGTGGAGTCTTGCAAAACATGTGAAGGATTTTGGACTTTCTCCAAAAGGAACAGGGGCTCTACTGAAGGGGATGTGTGTGTGTGTGTGTGTGTGTGTGTGTGTGTTAATAATTATTTAATTTTATTTTTTGTTATTTTTAAAATTTGCTATGGAGCACATGCACTCACCAAAGAGACAGGAAAAGTGAGAAAGCAAGCTGCCAGATCTAGAACTTGAACGGTGGTCAGCCATGTGAGAGTCAGTGCCTTACCTACCACACCACCTACCAGCTCTGCTACTAAGGGTTTTGGGAGAGGAAAGATTTTTAAAAAACAGCTGTTCCAGGCTGGCCCCATAGCACCACAATTAAATGCTGTGTATGGGAAGCCATATCTCACAGGGCAAACTACAGTTCAATTCTCAGC